AAGACTGTTCCACGCTCACCCTGCTTAGTAGCTGACATGAGTTTTTAACGCGAGCGTGAACAGCCCCTGATTCAGAAACCCAGACGATGTTAGAGTAGGCGCACGCACTTCGACACGCGTGTGTTTCAACATTCATGAACGCTCGTACGTTAATGTGTGGGCGTTATCTAACCCTTTCGCGATCTGTCGTGAACGCATAAATCAACGTACAGAGATGGTTTTGGTACCGTTAGATGCGTCAGAATGTAAGCTTTAAGATGAGTGTACAAACCGAAAAAAATCAAAATTTTAGATTTAGGGTAGACGCTCCCCTTAAGGCTCTGGAGCTGGATCGATTTGTGTATTCGAATGTTTATCATTGCCTAGGCAACAGTCGATTGCGTGGTAAGGATTCGTCGGTTGGGTGCTTGTACACGGGGACAGTGCAGGCGGCCAGTAGATCCGGCGAATGTAGGCCGCTTGGTGACTATCCGGCAAGTAAGCCTGTACACGAGGACAGTATAAGGTGCCGATATATTCTCAGTCGCGCCCGCCAGTGCGTCGTTAGAAGCCGTCGAGTGAGATCTGTGAAAATGGATAGTGGGATTACCTTCAACAACTCGAGACTGTCCGTCGTTTTTATACTCTTTATTCTAGCCTTTAAAAATGAAACGTCGGGAACAACTAAACCCTGACTAATAAGGTCTTCTTTCAGTTTCAAAATACTCGTTTATCTCTTCATTTTGTTGGTGTAACTAGCATGGCGAACATTCCTCATTAATTCATATTTTTGGATTATCTCAAAGAACAATTGAATATCGTCTGGATTTTATGTTGGGTTCTTCTTAGAACCATTATCGTTCAAACATGCCATTTTTCACTTGACCCAAGATGCTTCACGAGAGCTGCACAGATGCTCTCGCCATGGCTGCATCAGCGCTACTGTCCGTTTCTCCACTCTCCAGCCAAGATATCAACACATCGATCGTTGTCCCTCTCGGCCGCGTCTCGGGCACATGCCACTGAAGCGGCTGAACCCCTATACACGTGGACAGTAGCGTGGACAGTCCAAGCGGCGGATGAACTGGCGGCCATTACTGTCCCTGTGTACAGACACCTGTAGTCTCACCACTGGGCGATGCAGCTGAACACGATAGAACAGGTTGCAAAGCGTATTCGTAAGTTAGTTGCTCTTTTCCCGTTACTATCTACTCTATAGGTGCTTGTACACGGGGACAGTACAGGCGGCAAGTAGATCTGGCAAATGTCTGCTATCCGGCATGTAAGCTTATTTATATAATTTCCATCGAGCTCAACAATATTGGAATGGTCACTGCATAGTTGAACTATATAAGGTTGACCCTCGAGGATTTCCGTCCTTCAGTTCAGTTTACTTGTTACGTCACTGAGATCGAGAAACGTAAACAATCCTGTCATTCCTACGACGGATTGGTTGACTGGTTTGATCGCATTTCGGTTAATGGTTAATGCCCGTGACGTCACTGAGATCAGTGACGTCACAGGCGAACAACAAACTACATCCGCAAAAATGAGCTTCTCATGGGTCAACCTAGACTAGTTCATCCATGGGTCACTGAATTAGACGTTAGAAATGCTTCTATTATTCAGTTGAAATAAAAAATGGTTCGTATTCTGTCACTTACTTTTACAGGATTAACAATTTTAGTTTGTGCGTAGTTCATTCGTATTTAATTTATGCTATCAAAATTATTTACCTGCAAGTTTGAGCTTACGAAACTGTTCGGAATAACGGCGAAAAAACGGACTGACATGCGTTCTATATTTAGCGGCCGACCTGCATATATGTTATGAAAAATATTTCAAAACATATATGCACTGGAGCCAAGGCAAAATGTAGAAGATTTTATACCCAAACTCTTTGATGATGGTTCCTATTTAATCATCTGTCTGTCCTGTCGGTTTCCAGAAGGAGTCCATTGCATGGCATCAAGAAACCGTTGGAGCGATAGCATTCAGCAAGCCTTCACAGGACCACTCGCAGCCCAGGGTTGGGGCTTGCGTAAGTGAGTTGACACGACTGTGAGTTCACTCGGCATCCTCCTTATAAACAGGCTTTAAGGTGCTTGTACAATGTACACTGGGATAGTGCAGACGGCTAGTTGATCTGGCAAGTGTCAGTCGCTTGGTGACTATCCGGCAAGTAAGCCTGTACACGAGGAGAGTAGAACGTGCCGCTATCTTCTCGTTCGCGCCCGCCAGTGCGTCGTTAGAAGCCGTCGAGTGAGGTCTACGAAGATGGATAGTGGGATTACCTTTATCAACTCTAGTAGGTCTTCTTCCAGTTTCAAAATACTCATTTCTCTCTTCATTTTTTTGGAGTAACCGTCATGGCAAACATTCCACTTTAATTCATATTTTTGGAATATTTCAAAGAATAATTGGATTTCGTCTGGAATCCACTTTGTTGGATTCCTCTTAAAAACATTATCGTTCAAACAAGCCATGATTCACTTGACCCAAGATACTTCACAAGAGCGGTACAAATGCTCTCACCATGGCTGCATCAGCGCTACTAGCCACTTCCCAGCGCATAAATCAATACATCGTTGTCCTTCTCGGCCACGTCTCGGGCACTTGCCGACGCATGCCTCTGAAGCGGCTGAACCCCTATACACGAGGCTAGTAGCGTGGACAGTTCAAGCGGCGGATGAACTAGCGGCTAGTACTATCCCTGTGTACAAGCACCTTAAACAATAGCTCGTTTCCGAGACCTTAGGTCAGTCTAAGTCCAAGGTTTACCATGTGACATGAGCTCAAGTGTTGTTGCTGCCTGTTAAAAGTTGAAGAAATAACATTCATAATTTGAATTCTACGTTAGTGAGTTGATAGCCTGTCTCTGATACTGATAGGTACGGTACTCAAAGTCGTCTGTTTTCTAGTCACAAACAGTAATTAGATATTAGAAAAATCTAAAAAAGCATAACTTTACTGAACTTCTCCAAATAATTTTGATAGGCAGCTGGCTTCAGCACTCCATCATTGAACATAGCCATAGGTGTCACCTGAAAGCTGAAATTAGAACTGCACTTAAAATCTAATTTTAAAACTTAACTGATTGATCGGATCATAATCAGTTCCTTGGCTAAGGCAAAACTGACGGACTTCAATATTTCAATGCAACAACAGTATAAAAATTATTTTCAAGTAATAAACTTACTATTCATTCAAGAATATTTACAAAGTATTCAGTTATAACAATTTTTGCACGAGACCCTTTTCCAAACCCAAGTATTTCTTTGGTAGGGATTGGACGCTGTGCGTCTTCTGAGAGTTTTTCCCAGCCTAAAGGTTCTCTATCGTTCAGTACCCAGTTGAGTCACTTAGTAGAGTGAGCACTGGATTCAGCAGCAACCCACTCTAGTAGCTAGTTGGGTTGATAGAAAACATAGGCCAGCAGAGAGTCAGAAACAGATCCAGTGGCAGCCCGTGATCCACCAATATAGATCTGTTGAGGATAATACTGTTCCCAGAAGTCTTGAAAGAAATTCTGTAATTTGAGGTGTCATTGCATAGACTGCTGCAAGATTAAGGCGAAGCGCAACTCTCATGAGTCGTCTCCGAGTTCGATGTAAGCGTTACATAGATTTGGGCGTCCCTAACCACGCCCAGTGAAATCTCACTCAGCTAATCTTCCTCAAATCAAGTCTGTAAGCAAAGTTCTTCATATAATAAAAAAGTATAAATGAAATTAAATGACCAAGCAAAAAACAGTAGATGATATGCAAGGTTTAACTGATTGAAAATTATAAGATAGATGTTTTTTGGATTATCGTCGTACCTTCGTAGCAGATTTACGAGAAGCAACGACGAGCGTTGGCCAAACCCAGCGATGTCGGCTCGTAAGAAACACGCGAGCCAGTGTAAGCATGTAACTCGACAAGGGCTCCTTGAAGGAACACAGAAATATATTAGAAATCACTTTCCATTGTTAATAACTTACCATTACCATGTGTGCAAAGTTAGAGGCTTTCGCTGAATAATTGTGATTCTAAAAGTTGGTGACGTCACACTATGGATGAGTGGCCCGCTGATTTTCGTGCACTTCATCGACGAGGTTGATAAAAATATGTCGCATGCAAACACCAACTGTTTTTCAGCGACTCTGCAAAATTTCTTGATTCACGGGAACTTGTTTACTTAAGCAATACATAATTAGGAAATCTTTCTGTAACTTCGTTAGGTTTTAAAACGGTAAAATACAGGGTCATTTGTTACTACATTAAAATTCCTGACACGTCTCGGACGTTATTTCATGTTAAAGCCTCAATTGCTTGCACCTACACGACAAAAATAGTTGATAATTTAACAAAATCCGCGACATTAAATCTGCTTAAAAATTGTGTCCTCCCATTTATTTCATTATTTAAAGAAATGAAGGGAATATTCGCTCTTTAAATTCCGAAAATTCGACTATAACGAATTCCTCACTTTTTTGAGTAGATAATTAACTCTCTTTAAAGAAAAGAAACAATTATTATGCGGTGTTCCCATCCGGGAAAGCTAGAATAATCTAGTTTTAGACCAAAAACTGAGGTTAAGATCGGTAATGAGTGGTTTTCACTCTACCAAGTAGTCATGGGACATCGCGACAAATACTGAACTGAAATTTTTTAGGTTATCGCGAGTTAGATGAACTACCAAGGCCCATGAACTGCATCGAACCTATAACGGGAAAAAGGACTGCAAGGTCACAAGTAAGTATCCATTGTATTTGATCAAAGGCTCAAATAACTTAAAGATTTCAAGGCACATAAGTTATAAGTAAACTTTAATCTATGTAACGCTGGAGCCACACATCGCGAGCCCAGTACTGACAATTACTGAATTCAAAGGATTGAAGTATCAAGTTCAAATTTGCCAAAATTCTGGTTGAATGAGAAATGATTCCAAGAACATCATCTAGTGGCTGTAACTTATATATACTTGATCAATTGAACTGTAACCCTTCATAATTTGTGCAGAAATTAAACGAGAAACTGTAATAAGCGTTCGTCGAGAGTGACCAAAACTCTACCACAAATAAGAATTTGTATCTATGATAGGTCAAATTTTATTCCCAAAATAGTGTAGAAAGGATGCCTGCTTCTGAACAAAATAAATTACCCATGGGTTACGAGAAAAAGTCTGTTTTCTAGACAAGTGAAATTCCTCCAGTACTGAAGGCGAGTCCTTTCCACGCTAATTACACGGAGAATTTAACGAAGTAACCTCTGACGGCTAACGAAGGTCACTTCACAAAAGCCCAACCAAACGCATCAGTGACCAATGTGCTTATAATTACAAAAAAAAAATAAAGTAAGAAACAACGTCAAAATCAGATATCGTTTTCACCATACACGCTTTCCCCTCCATCAGCGACCGATGTCTAAACATCATGAAAGTATCTCCGCCTTTATCAATAACCGATGACCTTAAACACTAACAACTAAACAAACATCGGGCCAGGTTACGCAGGATAACATCTCACAAGTTATGCCTGCGTTGGCCAACAAAACGCAAAGTCAAAAAAAAAAAAAAGGAATTCCACTTGAGCGAACAATGATAAGATTTTCATAAAGAAAGATTCGGCCTCAAAGTCGTGCCCGTGCCTGACCTGGCCCAAACCAAACACGACACAAAAAAGGAGAATTAAAAAATATTCAAGCATGAGTTGAATTATGAGAACACTTCTAAAGAAAAAAGAAGATTTGAATGAACGTGATTAAAGCCACGCTTTTCCGATCATCAACTAGAACGAATTTCTTCATCAAAATGAAGAACAAAAAATTTCCACTGAGAAATAAAGCTCTCTTGGTCTACAGTTATTCATCACGCCGGGCTTCACCGCAGCTTCATGCACACCGCCGAAGATAACTTGTTATTCCTGCGAACTCATCCCCACAGTTGGGGGAAGACCGATGAGGTAATGTGCAGACTAGACATCTCTCAACATCTCCTGGCAGCCGTAGTCCACTGCAAAGTCCTCCCTCAGCATCCCCCAGCCGTCCACTGCAACGTCCTCCCTCAACATCCCCCAGCAGTCCATTGCAAGGTCCTTCTTCAACATCCCCCAGTAGTTCACTGCAAGGTCCTCCCTCAACATCCACCAGCAGTCCACGGCCAGGTAGAACCCATCTACACGGTTACATTGTCGGGTCCTCGATGGCTTACTTTGACCATTCGTTGACAAGTTGGCTCTTTGCTCGTCACTGGGAAGAAAAATAAGGGATGCACAAAAAAATACAGACAAAATATGATATTGTTAAGATACAAGAAGTGGAATTCGATCACTAGCTTAATATTTCCAGGACGCAAGTCATGTTGAGTTGAAATTAAAAACTTGTGCTCACAAATTTTTATCTTATCATAGAAATTTTCTCGCATTGAAACTGTTTTGAGTCTGGCTTTGCTAGTTAATTACTTACGTTCTGGTTTCCATTGGATGATGGTGATGGTTGACAACTCGACACATTTTATTTTTTCACTATTTGCTGACTTCAAGAGGTTGGAATGCGGCTCGCAGTATATTGTCACCTTATGTGAAAACATGGGACTGTAATAGGATGGGCGCCACTTCCTCAAGATCTCAAACAGCCGGTCAGCGCCGTCTTGAGTGATATTGTCCCTCGGCAGCACCAGGTTTAGGCGAGAGCTGCAACGGGTACGACAAAGGATATTTTATCGCTCATCTACATTGCAAGACGTAAGGGTATAATTTTCTTCAAATTAACACATACAATGCTTTGAGTTCTAACACAATAATTTTTTTGTGTAAATCAGGTCATCTGTAATGCGTTCAATGATCTAAAGCACTTTTCATGCTTCATAAACTACCTACCAAATCATGTGTTGTTCCAAGCGGTAGATGAAACCCAAGTGCTTGCATGACCAGTATGCCTTGTCGAGATAGTAAATGTCCCGGTGGCAAAGTAAATGCTGTTAACGAGGACTTGTACCATGAATACTTACCACTTGTCACTAATCGTGCCGCACGACACAATTTCAAGCATCCAGTCCAAGTCATTGTCACAGAGGTCAGGGAAGTGCCAGCGACAGATCTTCTTGTTGATCTTTTCCAAGTAGCGCCCAGTGCTGCTCGGGACTTCCCTGAGGCAGCAAACGTCATCTGTTGGACAAATTGCATTTCAATAAACAAACGATACTAGATTTACACAAGAAACTATTACCGGGCAGCTTCGTGATTCTCAATACGTGCTGCTTGGTCAGTAGGTATTATTTATGCATTCAGTTGTCTCTAGCAACTCAGTTCAATGTTCTTTCATGGTATTCCGGAGTAGTTTCAGGGATGACATCCACGTAACCGGTTGCTACCTGCCCAGATGCCCATGCTGAGGAATCAAATTAATGAATACCTATAAAAATCTGGTAACGTTAATTCAAGTAATTGATACATTTTTTTAGCCCCGGTGAAATGACAGAATTAAAAATAATGCTTACCGATACTTCACAAGACAAGATTATGATGTAGGGCTACTATCAAGAGGAACAAAACATATAACAAGTTTGAACTAATAAAACTGACGGTATGAATTTATTGAAAAGGCATCTACTTCCTGGCAACATTTATTACACTTTTCCATATGAGTAATGAAGCTAAAAGGAAACTTTGTAATGATGTTTACAAAACCTTTCTAGAAAATTTAATGTTTCTTTTGATTTCTTATGCTGTTTTTATTATAATACGGAGGCATTATTAATGCAATTGGAAACAGTGGCACATTCTTGGTTATATACCGTATAGGGAAATAGTGATTGATGCGATTACTCAACATTTGTTCCTATGCAAGTACATTCGGACTGCACGCTTCAGTAGGCTACAATACAGAAAATTCATGTGCTGATGATATCGTGTGCTGCATTATAGCTGTATTTGCTAATGCTTTCTTCACTCAAAACACTCGACCTCTCTCATGTACGTGTATGTACATACCTCACACTCGTCCTCCCTCACCTACTGATGTACATACCTCCACACTCGTCCTCCCTCACGTACGTATGTACATACCTCCACACTCAGCGCCTCTTCACTCAAACAAACAATTGCTTCCCATCTAAGCTTCCGATTAACCCTTAAATAAATAAATAATTCACCCTTAAATAAATTAGCTCATAGAATGAATTTTTATAAGCAACTCCAAGCAATAATACAGTGTCAAATTTATCACATGACTATAACAAGACCTCTGCACCTATATTGAGACTATTACATGACTATTACAAGACCTCTGCACCTATTTTGAGACTACTTCATGACTATTACAAGACCTCTGCACCTATTTTGAGACTATTGCATGACTATTACATGACCTCTGCACCCATTTCATGACTATTACATGACCTCTACACCTATTTTGAGACGATTGCATTACTATTACAAAACCTCTGCACCGTTCTCGAGACTATTGCATGACTATTACAAGACCTCTGTACCGATTTCGAGTGAGAACAAGATCTCAGAAGCTCACTTATTATTAGTAGATTCACAATTCGCATTTGACAGTGTCAAGGAACATTAATGGGCGTCTCNTTTTCAATCAGTAAGGACTGTATTTTGTCATTTGAATTCACATCAGCATTCTGGAGCAGGTCATCCAAAACCTCTACTTTGTGTTTGTTATGAATGCCTCTTGTGCATGTAAAACAGATGAGTTTAATGCAGTTTACACACAGGTAATCCAGATGCCTGTAGTGTTGAGAGCAGAGATGCTCAGACTCTGGAGGTTGTTTCCGTTTACATGCCTTATTCTTCAAGGGAATCAACATGTAGTTAACCAACAATTCATTTGCAGGCTTGTCAATTTTCTTCCTGCATTTAGGGCAGCTCTTGGTTCCAGAAACTTCAGACAAGCTTGTAATGCAGGAGAAACAGAAAGTATGACCACAAGTAAGACAAAGTGGCATGTGCTCTTTCGAGTCAAAATCATCTTCGCAAACTTCACACACCGACATGGCAGTGGCCATTTTAAATAAAGGAGAGTATTAATTTTATTATTTGAATCAATAATATTCAATTAAACTACACCGTTTTGATAAATTTTTGATTTCCTCTATCAAACAAGTTGTTGCATTTGATGGTATGCCATGATAATCTGAAAATAAAAATGGCAATAAAATATATGAAAAATAATACCTATTAATGGGACCATTTCCTACAATTGCCTGTCAAAAAGAATATAAGAATAACCTACACCCTGGGTTTTTAAGAAAATGTTTTCAAAAATATAAGGACACCAACAGGGTGTCCATATTTTTTTGAATATTTTGACCTTCCAAGCTTGGACCATCTATCCATTAATGCAGGTTTGTAGTTACCAAATTTAATGTCTATCATAAAATTCAAGAACCTACAGATAAATGGGAGTAGTAAGGAAATGTTATAATAAAAAAATTGTTTCTATTTTCAACAGTGCCAATCATTTTTTTAAAAAATAAATTTCACTCATCATTCCTGACTTCTTCTTTATTTTTGAATAACTTCCTTCTCTTGATAAATATATTTAGACAATCATTCATTTCATCATTATGTTCATCCCATTTGATTTTACTGAAAGCGCTATTATATATTTCATGTGCTGTATCAATATTTTAACAAAAATACACTTGCTTGTAGTGAAAATGCTTATAAGGGAATGGAAGTGCAGCCCTGATAAGAGCAGTAGAACTTCTATTGCTCAGCTTTACATTGAAAAATATTCAAATTATGATATAGGTATCAGAGTTGCCGGAGGGAATTGGATAGTTTTTTCTCAAACAGCACATTTCCAACATTTAAATTTTCTTTACTAATTCATTAATTTCAGATGTCATTCTAGAATGAGTTATGATGCAAGAGTTATGGAATGAGTTATGATGCATGAGTTATTGAAGGAGTTATGATGCACGAGTTATTGAATGAGTTATAGTATAGTATCTTCGGCATTGAAGAATAGGCCTGGATGGGCCTGTTGCCGATTCTTGGACTTTTCTTGGCTAGACTTGCCTTTTGATCAAATCTTTTTCAACAGACGGTAGATTTAAAATCGCTTCTAGATTTCAGTTGTTCCGTAGGATACAAGGCATTTTAAAACTAAACATATGCTCCTGCATGGCCTTGTCTAGTCTGTACTTGAACGTGTTCATACTTGGAGCATCAACATCTTCAGGGAGGCTGTTCCACATGTCGGTGACTCAAAGCTAGAAGAAATGTTGTCACGTGGATAAGTTGCACCGCAGTTTTTTTAGTTTGTAGCTGTGGCCCCTGGTGTTGGTTCTTGTTTCAAATTCTAGTAATCCTTCTAGGACCTTGTACAAACCATGAGCATACTTGTATACTTCAATGAGGTCACCACACAGGTGACGATAACGGAGGCTGGGAAGCATCATAATCTTCAATCTTTCTTCGTAAGACTTGCTCTTTAAGCCTGAAATTATCCTTGTTGTACATCTTTGAACACTGCATCTGATCAGCCCAAGCAGTTTATTGGATTTATTAACTTGACTGCAGTTTTTTTAGTTTATGGCTGTGGCCTCTGGTCTTATTTCAAATTCTAGTAATCCTTCTGGGGCCTTGTACTACAAACCATGAGTATACGTACTTGTATACTTCAATGAGGTCACCACGCAGGCAACGATAACGGAGACTGGGAAGCTTCATAATCTTCAATCTTTCTTCATAAGACTTGCGCTTTAAGCCTGGAATTATCTTTGTTGCACGTCTTTGAACACAACTAAATTTTTGTTCTTTTCAAGTCTCCCAAAGTCAAAGTTATGATGCATGAGTTATTGAACGAGTTATGCTGCACAAGTTATTGAATGAGTTATGAAGCATGTTTTATTGAATGTTCATTAATGCATTAATGAGCTAGTGCACAAAACTTTTATTTGACAGAACAACTATTTTGTGTGTGACTGTGAAAGGAAATGTAGCCCCTCATGTAATGTGAATCGTTTGAAGGAGACAGATGAATTTAGTGAGTCATTTGAAGGAGACAGATGAATTTATGATGTGAATGAGAAGGGTGAGAATAATGACATTTGCTATAAGAAAACATGTGGGATGGTATGTGGTGATTATGGGTATGGGAAATGTTAAAATTGGCTGTGATCAATAATGCAGAATAATGTTTAGATTGTGTCAAGGCTTGGAGCATGGTAGATGGCAAGAGTAGTAGGTATTGTCTTAGTGAATATCTTGCAAATATAACAAAATAATATTCTTACTTAAGTTCCTGCTAATATTTTCTGAGTAAAATACCTAGGGGCTAACCTGGGACAAAATGCAATTTCCTGTGATTGATCAATATTTATAGGTGCATGCAAATATTGAATTAACCAGACTAAATGTATATTTATGACAAACAAGTAACATACAGGCACACTAAATATTAAAACTTAATTAACTTTAAATTGACTTAATTATTATATATTATACATAAATTTACTAATTAAATTAACTTAATAAATTAAATTTAACAAATTAACTTAATCAACATATTTTTCCCTCTAAAAATTGCTTATATTTGCTCATAGAATCTGTTCCCTTCTTTATTTTGACAACACTTGCATGCTTAAATTAAAGTCATCATCAGCCTATACCATTACAGATTTTATACACCATGGTATGAAAACTAAAATGACCTTATCTTGGGAAATCCAAATTTGAAGAAATTATTGAAGTAGTGAGAAGACAAGCAGACCTTAGAAACTCAAATTTCAACTCTAAATAACTCAGTTGTAATCCGTAATAAAAATTTACCTCAAAGATCATGCTTCATACCAAGAAAAGTTAGATTGAAACATTGCCACAGAAAAACCGGCTGAGGCATGAGGTAATCAGTTTGTGCCTGGTGTTCAGATAAAATTCACGTCATTAATGTTTCAAGATACAATTGCAACTGTTGGAAGCGTTTGATCAGAAAAGTGTATACATTGATTGCATCTATGAGCTTGGTAGAACAGCAAATTAGAGATTTGATGACAGCCAATAGGAGTTAAAATTCTAGTCAAAATTTCAAATTTGTGAGGTGGCTGTGGTCAAGAATTAGGAACAGGTCAATGTAGTGTAATCGAAGATGACATCATTGCTTTCTATCATGTATTTTATGACACAAAAATTAATTTTTAATGT